CAAGATTGTAAACTCAAAGGTTTCAATCAAAATTTTCAGCTAAATTTGGAGTCAGTGCAAGATCTTGTCAGATTCCGCACTCAATGACTCTTAAGGCTTATTACTTTCTCCCAAAGAATCCAAACTCATTATGCACATGCGTTGTTCTTGCTGGAATCGGATGACATCTAATTCTGGCTAAGTTGTTTTAGTAGCTTTTGTCTCTGACATTGAAAAGCATAAAAGTTTGGAAAACTTTAGAATAGATAAAAAAATGTAGAGAACCCCACCTGCAAGAGGAAAAAAGAGAAAACCATAAGCTTATTCAAATGATCAACCATTCCAAAATGCTAACCTTTAAGAGAAGATAAAGAAAGGTAGGGGAATCCCACCCCTGATATTTTATGAGACCTAGATAGTTTAAGAGAGATCTTAGTCGTAAAACATAGACTAAGCTTATGCTTGCTATTTTGTAGGCATGTATATTTGAATTAATTTTATCATATTCTTTATGATCTTTCATGAGAATGTAGAGGATTATCATATTTTCTATAATCTTTTCATGAATATGTAGGGGATTCTCTTGTTTGCTGCTCTAGGTGTACAATTACTTGAGCTGCTTAGGAGGAGTATTTTGGATGTTTTTTGTCCTCCATTGCAAAATAATTAACATTCTTGCTCAGTCTCTGCTTTTGTCAATAGGACACAGTAACCAGTGCGTTTTTTATAACAGTATGCATGTCAAATACAAGTTGTTCCTGGCTGCAGTGGAGTACTTGCCTTTCTCTTCTGAAGATAAATCCAAAGCATGTTTTGAAGAAATTATAGAAAGGTACTTCTGTTAAGCAGCATGAATCTGTCTGGGATTTGGATAATCATTTTTGCAAGAGTTGAAAACAAGCACTGGACAAGTGACCATTATCCTGTATTTACTTTGCTAGGATTCTTTCACGGTCTCGAGAAATCAGATGTAGTAAGAATGATGGGCTATCGGATGTTGCAGAGCAACATCGGTTGCAGTCCCTTCAAAAGGCCATGGTTGTACAGTGGCTTTGCTTCACACCACCTACTACTATAAATGATTTTGAGATTATAAAGGCAAAGCTCTTCACGAGGGCACTAATTCATAGGTATCTACACTCATATTGTTTCTTTTTGCCTTTACCTGTCTTTATCAAGTTGTCTATCAAATATCTTGCTTCCAGGCCACTGTTGTGATTTCCTTTTGTAGCGGACTTCCTAATGTTTAACTGGAAATATTACACCACTTCCTAAAATTGCTGTTCTTTATCTTGTGCTTTCAGCAATACTTTATTCAGGGAGTTTGCCTTGATATCTATGTGGAGAGTCCCTAAAATGCCAGTTGGAGCACATATGTTACTCAGCTTCCTTGCAGAACCTTTAAAACAGCCTAATGATACTTTTCCATCTGTTGATGATAATGATGTTTCTGAAAATTTGCACGAATTTGAAGACTGGGTAATCTTCTGTATTCTGTTCATTCATTCTTTATTCATTTCAATTAGTTAGTAGAATATCAGGAATCTGATTAGCTCTTTAATGGATTTTCTAATACTGTTTTCTGGCGAATAGCGAGAGTACTATTCATGTGATGCAACTTATCGGAACTGGCTTAAGATTGAGTTGGAGAACTCTGCTATTCCTCCTGCTGATCTTTCTTCAGAAGAGAAAGAAAATGCTATGGCAGCTGCAAGGGAAACATTGCAGTCATCTTTATCACTTCTACTTAGTATGCACACATTTCTCTTGCATAAATTTCAAAGCATTTTTTCTATATTGCAAAATATGCATTTTCTTCACTTTTTTTCTATACTGGCCTCTAGATGTAGTCTTGAGTCGGCATTAGTACACATTGAATGGCATCTTATACTTCTGAAAAAAATTTTGCATGTACTTTTACCTTTTCTATTAAAAATTTGCTCTACTCCGCCCTTCCAGCTTTTGCTGTTGGTTAATACTGGCTCTGACTGAACTGTTCCTTTTTCAAATTTAGTTGGTTTTTTGTTTTTTTAATTAGCATTTAACAAGTCACCAAATCTGAAAATGAGAAGGTACAATGAAGAAAATGTTATGGATGAAAAAGCATAAAAAAATAGGACACTTTTAAAGATTGGATTAATACTAAGTAATTGTATTATAATGAAACATTTGAGTGGATAGAGAAAAGAAATGTAGTGCCATTTATGAAAATGCTACTTACATTATAGTAGAAGCAAAACATTGTCCTTTTTCAGTTATCTTCAGATTTTGGCTAGGGTCTAGTAGTGACCACAACATTTTAGATATCATTAGCAAAACATGGCAGATAGCTTTAATATGCCTCTGCTAATTTATATTAGTTATCAGTTTTCCCTCCTTCTTGTGAACATTACAGTGACATGCTTAACTTATCAACAAGAGAAGGGAGGTAATGACTAGTTTTACATTAAAAATATACGTCTCTAGATCATGACATTAAAAGAGATTGTAGTAACCGTGGTAGTAAAAAAGTTTTCTGCAGTCAACAAAAATAATATTCATCCTTAGCAATGTCTTAAGAGGAACACCTGAAAATTTAGTGCCTCTTTCACATCTTAAAACTGAACCATTTATTATATTAATCCTTAGCAATGTCTTAAGAGGAACACCTGCAAATTTAGTGCCTCTTTCACATATTAAAACTGAACCATTTATTATATTTATCTCCTTCTAGGCTTGTAGAGCTTGCCTGTCTGGTGATATGATATCGATCAGTTACTATTCTCATCTGCTTAGTGGAGGGGCGATCTAACAGTTACTATTCTCATCTGCTTAATTTTCTGCATGGGCTTATTGCCAGCAGGCCCAGCACTACTGTAATTAAATATGATTTTTTGTTTAAGGTGATGAACATATATGATATGATTATGGAACTACTTGTCTGAGCTGTTAGAGATGTTTATGGAAAAAACTTCTTATGAGGAATAGCGAATTAGCTTGTTGATGCTTTGCATAATTGTCATTTAAGAAATGTTAATTATCTAGTTTATTGTCTTAGTAATTTAATTTTCTTTGCTATCCTCAATGGTATACTGTTTTATTTAAAAATAAGAAGTTGAGGAAGAAACTGATACCTACAGGATGGCATTTATCAAGGTTTTCTAGTTTTCTAGTTTTCCTATTCCTGGCTGATACGGTGTTCTCCTTTGTTCATCACAGATGCTGCCTTTTTCTTCTATAATTTTAAATTAGATCCTTTGTGATATGGTATTTACCTTTTGCTACTTTTCTAGGGGAAGGAAGCCCATGGTTAAATGCGGCTCATAGTAGCCTACGCGAGTCAACAGAGAATATATTTCTTGAATTGCATGCAACTGCAATACTCTGTCTTCCCTCAGGGGAAAGCATGTGCCCAGATGCAACCTTATGCACCACATTGACAAGTGCTCTCTACTCTTCCGTGAGTGAGGAAATTGTGCTAAAGCGCCAGCTGATGGTAAAATATATTTTCTTCAAAATTTCCATGCCAATGCTAGTACATCAAAAGACTCGGAGCTTTCTAACTAAACATTTCATTTGTTTTTAATAGCATCTTTCATAAATATGTTCACATGCATGCCAAGCTGGGTATTTTAAGAGTTCGAATTGCAATTTCAAATGTTCTGACAGCAAAATTCCAAACTTTCAATGGTAGAGGATTCTCAACATGAGCATTTATAATTTCATTAATACTGAAATATAAGATGCTATCATATGTATGAATAATACAAGTAGTATGTACTTGTTTGTGTTCCTGTCCATTGATGACAATATTAAGAATCATAATGAAAAGGCTGATGAGAAGTGGCATGCACTTTTGAGGTACATTGTAATATACATGTCAAGGTAAAATATAAAACTAGTCATTATTTTAATTAGGAGATGGGAATTTGTTTTAAAACACAAGAGGGAAATTGGCAGTTGTAGGTATTGATGGTCAAAACTTAGCAGATTTTTTGGTACATAATTGTAGCTGATTAGTATCTTAAGGTGGTCTCCTCTCAAAAAGCAGGGATTGGCTATAACCTTTAGTATTCGTCAAATTCATGTAATTTGTTTTAGTATTTCCAAAACTACTCAAACAGTGTGATTCAAATAAAACATCAGTTGTTTGCATATTATTTTGGGCTTTTGTGAGGGAAGAACTTAGTGAATCAATGATTTTGCTTGAACAAACACGCTGAAAACAAATTGCAGAATTTGTGCGTGATCAGTAGATTTTGATAGTTTTTTTCCTATAGTTTGGGAGTAGTTGCCTGTGTCGAAACCCTGTCATCCATTATGAAGCTCAGTGCTTCATATGCTTTTCGCATTGAATGAACATTCCCAGGTGCTGTTTTCATTTGAGTCTAATGGTTAATGCTCATTTTTTCTCTATGGTGTTTCTGTTCTTGAATATAATAATCATTGCATGTACAGGTCAATGTTTCTATTTCGCCTAAAGATAAATACACGCTTGAAGTAGCACTCCGCTGTTTAGCTGTTAATGGTGATGGGCTTGGAGTTCATGAAGCAAATGACGGGGGACTTCTTGCTACCGTCATGGCAGCTGGTTTCAAAGGTAACTTAGTATTGTTTCTAATTACTATTTTTTTTGACCGGTTTTGTATACAACTGTTACTGAATATTTTTAGTAGGAGAACTTAAACGATTTCAAATGGGTGTCACAATGGAGATATCCCGGCTTGATGCTTGGTACTCAGATAATGAGGGTTCATTGGAAAACCCTGCTGCTTATATTGTCAAAGGTCTCTGCCGCCGATGTTGCCTACCAGAAATGATTCTTCGATGTATGCAGGTGAGCTTATAAGGTTGATAAGTTCTGGTCCTTTGTCTTAGTACCGTTGATTTGCTCTTTAAACTGTTTTCTTATATTTTTTTAGGTATCTGCTTCTCTTGCTGAGTCAGGTGAATCACCTGATCATCGTAATGAATTGATCGAACTTGTAGCTTCAGCAGAGTCTGGTATGATGCAACTGTTTAGTCAGCACCAGTTACAGGTATGTTTTTATAGTGTACATGTTGGTTTTCATATCCAAATTTTTAATTTTGGTTTCTTTCTCCTATGGTTCCAAATCAAAACTGGATGACATGATTAACATGCTCAATTTTTTTTATAGGAATTTTTATTGTTTGAAAGGGAATGCACATTGTACGCAATGGAGGCTCAGGAAGAATCATCGATGGTTGATGCTTGAACAAGTAAAAAGCGAGGTTTGTTAAGGTAGCGTACATGTCTTTTTCGAGCAAAATTATATTATATGCCATGTTTTACCTTTAGGTTGTGTCTGCTTAGTAGTGCGGGATTATCTGATGTTTTTAAAGGCGATTGCTGCAGTTACTATTTCCTTGATTGTGCCTTCTGTTACTTCAACCCAAGAAATTGAACTTGTGCTCTTTCTTCCTCTTCTTTGTTATTGCTGATGGTTATTGACATCATTATATTCTTTTTGGGTTAATTGTGTATACAACCCTTGTATGATAGGATGTTCGTCAATGTTATCCCTATTTTTCATAATGATTTTGACCCCCATTGTCTGTGGGTGCTTCTGACATCAATGGATGGTAGAAAGATCCCCAATGTTTGAATGTGTTGCAGAGAGACCCTCTGTTCTCGTATATTGAACAAAAACCCTCTATTCCCGTAAATGTGTTGAACATAAGCCCTTATAGTTATAAATATCTCCCTTTAGACATGGTATACTGAAGGTGTGTCTGCAATTGACCCCGTTATTTTATCCCTTTAAGATTTTGAACAAGCTTAGAGCCCGTTATGATCATCAAATGTACTCACAGATTTATGAACTGACGTTGAATTCAGGTATAATTTCGACATCATCTGCTGATGGGCATAATTTTGGCTGGAGAATTGGGTCGCCTTTAAGAAGTTCAGTTGCTTGTTGTGGAGGCAGCACTAGAAATTTTGTACTGTATCTTAATGTGTAAACAATCATCAACCAACCAACCAACGCATGTCAGTTGATCATTTTGATCCTGTTTATATTAGAAGATGCGAAATCACCAGCAGTTGTTAATTCATGCCGCAACTCCATGCTTACGTATCGCGCGCTGTAATTCATAGAATAGAAAAGAAGTCGGAGGATTGTAATTATCATTGTTGTGTTATTTTCTTTTCTCTATCGTGAAATGTAGGTAGGGCTGACAATTTGAACCAATATTTACAATAGACCATAACCTATGGAAAATTAAACTATAATGAGATTGTTAGCAGATGTTTTGCGTCAGGCTAAATGACACTTAACCTCTCTCAACAATGACACTTAACCCGCCTCCTCTCTCTCTCTCTCATCTCTCTCTCTCTATAATATATATATTATATATATTATTATTATAATATATATTATATATATATATATAATATATATAATATATGCGACGGCCATAGCTCAGGCAGGACAGAAAATTGTTTTGATCTAAAATAGAGATGGTGGGCTGCAGGACGCGTACTTTGATTTTTGTGTACTAGTTGGTGACGTGATACATGTCTTTAATGGTCCAGAACGGGTCCGTTTGGTTGGTTTTGGAGGAGCTTGAAAGCTGCCACAGATGTCCTATCTGTGGCAGTTTTTGGGCTCTTTCACACCCAAAAACAAAGAACCAAACGGACCTAAGGGCCTGTTGGTTATTTTTGAAAAAAAAAATGCTCAGTAGCTACGAACAGCTACAGTAACAAGAGCCTAATTGCAGAGGAACCGTTGACTCAGCTACAGTAGCACCATCTAAGCTACAACACCATGCTTATTTTGAAAACCAGACAGAAGTTGGTTGTAAACTTGTAATACTATAGCATCTGACGTCTATAGTATTACAACCCTAAAAAAAAAATGGCAACCAAACAGGCCCTGCAATACTAGAATTTCTTAATTTCAGTTTGATTAACAACACACTTGATAGAAAAACTCATTAATCATGAATAAACTACACGACAACCCGTATTCACTTGATATTTGTTTCACTCAGAACTCTGCATTCTTCGATCAACGCGACACGTTCACGGATCAAAGCTAAACGGAAAGACTTTGGACGTTACACTTTCTTTGGATCATAAACTGTCCAGTAAACAAATTCCGTGGACATCACGCACGCTTATGAGTAGCAGCATTCGAAACACCCAATCCCGTTGTCGGTAGGGTCGCAAGATAATAATGATGAGGCTTGGAATGTGTGGGACGTACGTGCAGCGCGGGAGGAGCTTTGCGAGGTTGGCGGCGCTCAGTAGGGTTCTGTCGATGATCGCTGGAGGAGTGAGTGGTGGTCGTCGTCATCGGAGGTTTTGGGGGAGGAGATAAGGGAGCACTGGACGGAGTTCAATCACTGAGGATCCTGCATGCCATTGAGAGTGTTTGTTGTGAAGGGGAGTTAGATACTTAGTCCCACAAAATTGGGAGGGAGGGTGCAGTTTGAAAGTTGTAACTTGTTGACTTTGATTGAGTTGTGGGTACAAATAAGGACTGGAGTGGTTATTAGTGGAGATGAAATGCTAAGTATACTTTAGGAGTTGTATTATTTTTGTACTATTAAACACAAAGGAGAGGGATTCATAGAAACTCATAATTTCTCTTTATAGTTTATAAGGAAAGGTCCCACATTTTGTGTGTAGTGGTACAAGAGTAGTATAATTCATGTGTAGAATTATCACTACTCCAACCATCCTTATGTTACTTTGAAGTTTGGGCATAATATCAGGGCAATCTAGACTTAGTTCCTACATACTATAAATTTAAAGCAGATCTAAAAAAGAATACTGTTGCGTGACTTAAGGTTTTAACATGCCCTCCACCTATAGGGAATGTTAGTCTAGAAAACTATAACCCTAAACTTTCATCACAACTTTAGAGTTTTAATCCAATGGCAGGGAACTTTGACACATATAGTTGGATAAGGAACAATAAGATAAGAGACCGTTGTGACCTTGAGAATTCCAGATTGAAACCTCCTTCCACCGAGATCTTGTTTGAGTTGAAGCTAGAGACAAGTGAGTCATGCAATAATTGCATATTTTGTTGTTTTGGTGTAGTGGAAGATACATTAATGGTATCAAAATCTGAATGTTCTAATCTCAGACGACCATGCAAAACAGATTAAAAAGAAATCACTATATAAATAGTCCATATTTATAGCTAGGCCTGTCCATTTAGTCCGCCGGCTCGGGCCGCCTCGACGGCTCCGGCCCGGGCCCCGAATATTTTTTTTATTTTTTTTTTAAATTTTATATATTTTTATGTCATGAATACTTTGGGCTATTTAGTCTAGTGGTAAAATTTAGGAATTTGGAGAGGAGGTTAGTGGTTCAAATCCTAGCCACAACACATATATTTGGAGAGGAGGTTAGTGACTTCCTCCCCAGTAGCCAGCCGACACCTGTAAAGCGAGAGATGACTCAACATGCCAGCATACCTTCTGCTACACTCTCAATCACTTTCCGAAAAATACGGAGACACCTTCTCCCATGCCGAAGTGACTTCCTCTCCAGTCACCAACCGACAACTGTAAAGCGAAAGATGACTCGGCTCTTAGCCCGTACTTCATCACCGCCTCCCTATGCAGGGCTAGGGGGACCTATTAATCCAGATATATACATGTATACTCCTAACCTCTGAGGGGGACAAGATCTAAAAAAGAAGAAAGCTTTCTCTCTCTAAAAGAGAGAAAGAACCCACAGTTCTTCATCTACACAGAGGAGCTCACGTAGATCCTCTGGGCATGCACATTGCCACTTCAAGAACCACCTAGGGTCCTGACCTTTCCTTTCCCCACTCGAGTTTCACTAACTTGACTGTTAGAGGAACTACGGGGGAATCGGTCCTCACCCTCTCACAGGTTCTTCTTGTCTGCGCAGCGCGGACATCAAACCCCTGTTCAAGAACTAGGCATAAAGTCGGAGAAGGAAGCGGCCCCTTCATTACTCTCACCTACCTCGTCCCGGCGAGGACTCAGGGGGGACCGATCCAGTTTCGGATCAGAACCGATCCCAGCCTGGATCCGGTTGACTGTTTGGTCGTAGTCATCAACACCAAGCATACCCATTTTTCTCTCTCTATATATAGTTGAGCTAGACTACTATTAATAGTATGTAATATGCGAATACTATCAATTTTAAAAATCGGAATCCAAAAATAAAAATCCAAACCGGTAGATGTAATCTACTACATATAACCTAGATAGAAATAAAATTCCAAATGATTTTATCATTATTAACCCATGCAAAATATGTCGTCAAAATCAACGTTTCAGAATTATGAAGTTGGTTAACTTTTGCCTCTTGATATATAATTTAAAACACGTCAAAATCATTTGAAATTTTATTTCTAACTAGTTCATGTATAGCATATCACATCTACCAGTTCGAATTTTTATTTTTAGGTTCCGATTTTTAATATTGGGTTGATCCGCATGTTGGATACTATTAATAGTAGTATAGGTCAACTCTGTATTATATTGAGCTATGCTACCATTAATAGTATCCAATATGCGGATACTATCAACCCAATTTTAAAATCCGGAATCCAAAAATAAAAATCCAAACCGGTAGATATGATCTACTACACATGAACTAGTTAGAAATAAAAATCCAAAGGATTCCATCATCATTAACCCATGCAAAATATGTTGTCAAAATTAACATTTCAGAATTTTCATGAAGTTGGTTAATTTTTCGCCTCTTGATATATAATTCAAAACACGTCGGAGCTAGGCTACTATTAATAGTATCAAACATGCGGATCAACCCAATTTTAAAAACCAGAACCTAAAAATAAAAATCCGAACATGTAGATGTGATATACTATACATGAACTAGTTAGAAATAAAATTTCAAATGATTTCGACGTGTTTTAAATTATATATCAAGAGGCGAAAATTAACCAACTTCATGAAAATTCTGAAATGTTGATTTTGACGATATATTTTGCGTGGGTTAATGATGATGGAATCATTTGGAATTTTATTTCTAACTAGTTCATGTGTAGTAGATCACATCTACCGGTTTGGATTTTTATTTTTCGGTTTCGATTTTTAAAATTGGGTTGACAGTATCCGCATATTGGATACTATTAATGGTAGCCTAGCTCAACTAATATATGGACACACTTAGAATATATTACGAATGTTTGTTCAAATCTAACTCTTGAGTTTTCAATTAGCTAGAATAAGATAAGAGAACGAGAGTATTCACAGCGTCATCAAATATATTTTGCAAACTAGCTCATTGCGTATAATTACATTGCTCATATGAACGTCTACGGATTGATTGTACAATAGAAATATGTCATGATGTACACTAAAAAACAAAAGTAAATAGCAAATTGTTAGGTAAATTACACTAAACCCCCGAGAACTTTCAACATTTTGTAGTAAACGCCCCCTAACTTTAAATCAAACTAACACCTCAATGACTTTTGCAGAAAACCCCACTATCTTTTGGGTAAATTACATTAAACCACAAATAACTTTTAAAATGCATTTTATATTGCCTTTTTTTTCTTCTAATTTAACGTTTTTTTTTGCAAAACGAGAAAACATATTGGTGTTTTTCTGCAATTCCAATAAGCTCTTTGGGTTTAGTGCAATTTTGAAAGTTATTGGGTGTTTACTACAAAATGCTAAAAGGCTTTTGGGGTTTAGTGTAATTTACCCCAAATTGTTCTTGTACACGCTTAGAGCAAGTGCAGCAAGCTCCTAGTTGGGAGTCCTAGTCAGCATGCTCTCAAGAGCTCTCAAGCATTTTAGAATAAAAAATTAACAAATTAAGCATTGGGAGGCACTCCTTCTTTTATGGAGCTCCAACAAGCTCCTAATTAGGAGCTCCAACAATATCAAAAAAACCCCTCTTCTATTTTAATATTTTACCCATTACTTTTAATTATATTTAAACCTCTTGTATTTTATTTCTAACCGTTGGATACGGCCTTCGAAGGAGCGCACACGGTCTTCGAGGTAACCCACGGTCTTCGAGGGAGCGCACACGGTCTTCGAGGTAACCCGCGGTCTTCGAGGTTGGGCACGAAGTTCGAGGTATCGCAAACGTTGACCGTCAACCAACTGATTCCTATAAAATTCGATGGCTTCTCTCATCAACCCATCATCTCCCAGAATAAAATGTCTAGCTCATCTAGCTCTAGCGATGATGAAATGATAAAGACGTTCTTTCTTATGGGAGCTGCTGTCGTTGAGGAAGAAGAATAAGAGAAATGTTCAACTTCAGTTCAACACAAACGACGTATCGTGCTCCATCGAAACCGACTGGAAGGCCACAATCGGTTATTCCAAGATTATTTTGCTGACGCACCAACCTATCCTCTATATTATTTTCGTCAAAGGTTCAAAATGAGGCGTTCGTTAATCCTTCGAATCCACGACGCAGTCATCGAACATGACAAGTACTTCGTCCAAAAGAGGAATGGTGCTGGACAGTTAGGACTATCTAGTCTTCAAAAGATTACTGCAGCTATGCGGATGCTCGCATATGGAGCATCCGCTGACTCCGTTGACGACTACGTTCGGATCGGTAAAAGTACGTCGCTTGAGAGCGTGAAGAGGGTCGTTCGATCGATTATCAACATCTTTGGAGAGGAATACCTTCGTGCACCGACTAATGAAGACGTTGCACGCCTGCTCGAGGAAGGCTCACAACGAGGTTTTCCTGGTATGCTTGGGAGCATCGACTGCATGCACTGGACATGGAAGAACTGTCCAACTGCCTGGCAAGGTATGTATACTGGACATTTTCATGAACCCACAATTATTTTGGAGGCCGTAGCTAGCAAAGATCTTTGGATATGGCATGCCTTCTTTGGACTGCCGGGGTCTCACAATGACCTTAATGTTCTACATCGTTCACCGGTTTTCGCACAACTTGCGGAGGGAAGAGCTTCACCGTGCAACTATACTGTCAATGACCACGAGTATAATATGTGATACTATCTCGCCGACGGGATTTACCCAGAGTGGTCCACATTAGTGAAGACTATTCCAGCACCTCGAGGAAACAAGCATAAGTACTTTGCTCAACAACAAGAAAGCGCAAGAAAAGATGTTGAGCGAGCTTTTGGCGTGTTGCAAGCTCGATTTGCGATTGTTCGTAGACCAGGACGTTTCTGGCAACCTAGTGTGCTGAAAGATATCATGACAGCTTGTATCATAATGCATAACATGATCGTTGAAGATGAACATGATTGTCAATTGGACAACAACTTCGACTTTACTGATTCGGTACCAGTCATTGAACCTTCTCATGTGCAGACGGTGCCTCTAACTGAGTTCATCCAAAATCATCATCGGATCAGGAACACGCAAACACACAAATCACTAAAAAATAATTTGATCGAGCATCTGTGGCAGCTTAAGGGATCCATCGCCGAGGATTAAGTTTCTTTATGTCTAATGTAATTTCAGAAAAGGAGTTCAAGTTGTTGTACTACGTCAATTTCATTCTTAATAAAGTAGTTGTTTTCATTCAATGCCAAAATTTTCAACTTCAAGTACAATCATAAATCTAATATAAGATAATATTTGATAATTAGGAAGAACTAATGAGGATGCGATGCGAGTACAATATATGATAATTAGGAAGAACCCTTGGACATCCACCTCTCCAAAATCTCTGCCTGACGCATTTCAAAGTATTGACGTTGAACTGAATTGAGTGTTGAGAGATCGATCTTCATGATATCGTCATCTTGTTTCTTCTGTTTTAGCTCCATTTTTTCTTTGTTGGTTTGCTTCATCCACGCGAAAGCCTCTCCCATAATGGACTTAGCGGACTCAGATTTGTCCACATTTTGTTTCCTCTTGAGTTTTGCCGCTTTCCTCCCTTCAGGCCTTGCTATAACATCATCCGAGTCAATGTTCAACTCGATGGGGGTCGCTGGCATGGAATTGTTTGGTGAGGAATCAGAGTTCGTGGTTCTTCTCGGCTGTGATCGAATCTTATTGTAAGTTTCCATTTGTTGGATCCACTTTTGGTGATGACGCAACTCAACCCAGCAATGGTCAAACACGAATGGCTTACCATAAAGGGATTGGTATAAATTTTTTACTTCTGCAGTCTACACAAGAGTTAAATTTAGAATAATCAAACATATAAGTTAAATATTTACATAAAAACATATAAGTTAAATATTTACCTGGTCAATAATTCCCGTACCAGATCTTTGTCTTCCTTCAATCTGAGCAACGCACCCGCAGAACTTGTTGACAGATAGTTGAATCGTTGACCAACGGTGCATCATTTGGTTTGGTGTGCGATTCGTTGGATCGGTGGAGTATTGGATAAAGTAGTCGTTAGCTCTGTGCCAAAACTTATCTTTGTGTTGCCCCGTACCTTGGATGACGTCTTGGCTCGTGTTCAGCCAAGCAGACACAAGAAGCTTATCCTCGTGGACAGTCTAATTTTCGGCCCGCGTGTAAGCCTTCTTCTTCTTTGTGGTCGGTGTTTCTTGGGATGACACTTGTTGTGTTGCGGATTGCGAGAACTCGATGGGATGACCTTCTTCTCCGACTTCTGTATAGAACGGCGAGTATAAGGTCGATCCTTCACCGGTAAGGAGATGCGAATAATAGTTTTGTGAGGGATCAATGAGATTTGTAATTTGATAGGGATATATAGAGTTTTTTTATGAGAGAGTTGTGTGAAATAATTTGAGTAGTGAGTTGTGAATTTATAGATGATTTTTTACAACAGTAAAATTTTCAACAGCATGATTTTCACAACGTCAATATTTCCACAACGTCAATATTTCCAACGGCATGATTCCACAACGTCAATATTTCCAACAACATGATTTTCACAACGTTCGATTATCAACAAGAAAAAATTTCACAACTCAAATTTTCGACAGACGGTTAAAATCAAACAACGCACTCCATTAAAAAAAAAAATCAAAAAAATCCTTCTTCTCCCTTCGACAAACCCAACCCCAATTCTTCGACAGACCAAACCGCCCTCATCCCCAAATCTTCGACAGACAAAACCCCAAATCCTCTCCCTTCGCCACCATCGTCTCCGACCCAACCCCAGCTGGCCATCGCACAGTCTCCGAACGCCACCGCACAGTCACCCCAATCTTCGACAGACCCAATTCTTCGACCGCCACCGCAATCTTCGACAGACCCAATTCTTCGAACGCCACAGCACAGTCTCCGATCCCACCCCGAACGCCATACCTCATCTCCGCGAAGGCCAGCGAACGCCCTCATCTCCGATTTCTGTCCGTTGAGGGGATTTTTTGTAAATCCTCCCCTAGTTGGGAGCTCCCAAGCGCTCCACAAATTTGTTGAGCGCTTGGGAGCTCCGAAGCTCTCCACCGCCACGTCAGCGCTTGGGAGGTCCTTGGGAGCGCTGCGGAGGCTGTTGGAGGGGGTTAAATCGGAGAGCTTGGCCACGTCGGAGCTGAGAGCGGGCTTGGGAGCTTGCTGCCCATGCTCTTATATGATCATTAAAAAAAAGTATTTTTTCCTTGCAAACCACGTGCTCGCATTTCTTTATTGGATAGAATTCTAACCAAAACATATTTTGCAAACTGTAGCTTCCGAAATAATAGTTGTAAGTAGGATTCAAATCTTTACCACTGTGGACAGATTGCAAAATGTATATTTCTCCAATTAAAATTATTAGTTATTTAGTGAATAATTATAATTCGTCTTGACTAAAAAAGTATGAAATACTTCGGTTTCGTGAAAGTTTTGATAACATATTTATATCCAAGACGAGTCATAATAGTCTTACTATAAATGAACGTTTTCGTGACCAAATAATTAATAAGTGACAAGAAACCAAATGTGCTACTAGCTATTGTGGAATATTTCAATTTAATTTTATGATGGGAATGATCAAAATAGACATTTGAGTGTACAATCCTTGAACGTAAATATTTTTAGCCAGATATAATAGATATATACATTGAAGAGAACACTCAACTTTCATAATTACAATAAATTAGCAATCCCCCACCCACCCCTCTCCGATGTAACAAAAAAAGAAAAAGAAAATTTCTCATAAAGGACGTTAACATGCAGACTAAGAATGTAACCTAGTTATCGTCTTGTGAAGGACGATTGAACAAACGTAACATATTGTCTAAGTGAGACTGTGTTTATGTCGACGGAGAGTAATCAGATCCAACTTAGAGTTAATGAACCTTAAAGAAAGATTAGAAATCAATTTTAATCCAAAAGTTATAAATTTATAGGTATCAGATACTACCTTGTATTTAAACCGGTAACCCTTCCTTATCTTATTTCATGGTAGAAATATAACACTATTCCTCGCCTTCATACGTGCACTGTTTTTTTTTATTTAATATTTCGGTGATCACTTGCATTTTGTTTTAGAACTTGTTTAGTTGTTAGTCTACATAATTTTTCTATATTAATAAAATACAATTCTCACTGTTTGTTGCTGCTAATGATGTATGAGATGGCTAACTTATTAAGTAAAATGAGCTATCAAGAAATAGCGACGCAGTTTATTCTTGTCACATCAAAAAATATAGGTCCCACCAATTTATCTCGCGATAGTTAATTTAGCTAAATGAGCGGTCATCTCGTAACCATCAAATCCATGATATAAATAATATATTAGCATCTAGGCTTTGTTGTATTTTTTCTACGACCTAGAGAATTGCCTGGTCCTTACAGTGCTATGCTATCTTTTGTTGGAAACCATGGAGAGCCTTGTCGTATGTTAAGCCTGCTTGAAAATTTTCATTTATTGAATTATTTTGATGTAAGACCTTCATATAACTCGTCATTAATTTTGTTCGCTTCCATGCTGTTCCTTTAACTTTGAGAAAAAAACTGTAGGTTGCTCTCTTTGGAGAAATTTTATGTAGAACTACCCCTAATGAGGGTGAATGGGATTTTTTGTGATGTTTCAACCCAAATTTCTTCTAGGATATGAAAAATTTATAGAGGGAAAGAATTAGAAAAAACAAAGTCATCCACAGACTAAGATAGGGAAGGATCCAGAAATTCACAGACTGAAGTCTACGAGTTACAAAATTTAGGGTAAATTACCCTATCCGCCCAAGAACTTTCAACATTTTGCATTGAACCCCCAACGACTTTCAAAATCACACTAAACCCCCAATAGCTATTTGGAATTAAAAAAAAAACCCAACAAGTTTCGCAGATAACCCCCATAAATTAGAAAAACAACAACAACAAGAGAACAAGGCATTTTGAAGGTATTAGGGGTTTAAATGCCTGTTAGTGGATCGGATTGTGCTACAACCAGATTGTTCTAAACTAAATGGATAAGGGTCCAGAAATAATTTTACTTACAGGTTGCTTGCTTCAGGTTATCTAGAATACATATAATAAAGATGTATATCCGAAAATTTAATTATTTAGAAAAAAAGATTTGAGTAAAAGACTACTTAATTGGCGCTTAAACATTTACCACTCAAATATAACAAACAAATAGGAACAGTGTGGTTCTCATGAGTTTTTCGTTCATTTGAAAAGAGCGCAGTAGGTGCACTTTCAACCCAAAAACTCAGACCATAGAAAATATCAGGAGAGCACATCATGTTAGTGGAGTTATGACCTGATCATGGCACTGACAACCCCATGAAAAATTTCTAGTTTATCGTCATCTCCTTAAGCTTCAGGCTTCTCTTTCGTGTAACATGAATTATTTTATATCAATAATAAATTTCATTGGCACCCCCATTTATGGGCAAGATTTTGGTCCCCAGCACCAGAAGAGTATAACTCCCATTCTTACTATAATCCCCAAACTCTCACTCTTATTGGGGTTTAGTGCGATTTTGAAAGTTATTGGGGGTTTACTCCACAATATGCTTAAAGCTCTTGAGGGTTTAGTTTAATTTACCCCAAATTTTATGTAAGGTCATAGGAAACGTAAAGAATAATCTTGGGACATAGTTGTGATAAAAATAAACTTTCAGAGAATA